CTTCTGTTTGCCAGATGAGGTCGACCTTTTCATAATCATGGTTGACCGCATCTGGCTTTCAAGCTATCTTATTTCTGTTTTATTTGTGCGAAACTAACACTGGTCGACCGCTTCTATTTATGAGGTCGACCGAATCTGTTTTGCACTCAATTGCTACGAGCATTTGGGCCATTTCGGACTCGCTTTAATTTAGCCGAGGTCGACCTATGATGCTTCTGAGGTCGACCTATGAAGGAAAAAGTTCGAGTTGTGCCGTTGTCTTTGAATTATTTGTGTGAAACTAACACTGGTCGACCTCTTCTATGTATGAGGTCGACCGGATCTGTTTTGCACTCAATTGCTACGAGCATTTGGGCCATTTCTTTTCGTTTTAATTTAGCCGAGGTCGACCTATGATGCTTCTGAGGTCGACCTATGAAGGCAAAAGTTCGATTTATTTGTGCTAAACTTATTGAGGTCGACCTGTGATGATATTGAGGTCGACCTCGGGCCATTTAAATCGATTGAAAGCCAATTGTGACTTTCAGAAGGAGTGCAGTGCAGGACATTAGGCCACCTTGCAATGCACTCCAAGACACAAACGTTTGTGTCTTCGAGTGCATAGCAAGGTGGTCTAATGTCCTGAACTGCACTCCTGCTAAAAGTCACAATTGGCTTTCAATCGATTTAAATTTTCCGAGGTCGACCTATGTTTTTTCTAAGGTCGACCTATGATTTTCAATCGATTTAAATTTTGTACTTGAATTGTTACGGGTTTATGTCGACCCATTCTCGTTTTAAATTAACTGAGGTCGACCGCTTTATGGAGTGGTCGACCGCGTATTGTTCATTTCGAAAATGTGACTAACGTGTATTCTTGCTTGTTTAATCGCAGGATGTTTGGCAAAAATAAGAAAAGAAAGTCACAAAAAGCTGCTGCCTCAAGTTCGGAATGGGAAGAGTTCAATCCCAAACTGTTCCAGACCAAGGATCAAAGTGACAACTATGAAGAGAAGAGAATGCACAACCGCAGAGTGGCTCCTGGAAGGCCATTGACGACGGATGCGTATTCTCATTTCGAGAATTACGGGTTTCTGGGACCCTTCATCGAGCAAGAGTGGCTGAAGGTGATATCTCTCAATGTACCATACTACCCAAAACTGGTACAATACTTCTACAACAACATCGTCTACGAGCGCAATGCAAATGGATCCATTCACGCATTCAAATCCTATGTGAATGGGGTGGCGATGCGCATCAGCAAGAATGTGTTGGCGCAAGTACTTGAGACTCCAAACGAGGGGAAGAGAATCAATTCTTACGGTGCTTGGAATGAAACGCATTTCACGAGAGCCAAGCAATTCCAGACGGTAGGTGGTCTTGATGAAGAGGAAGATGCTCAGGGGCGCAATAGGCCAATGAGTAACCACCTGACAGTTCAAGCCAGAGTTCTTCACCACATGCTTTCCTACAACATTCTGCCAAAGGGTGGACATCGGGAGACAGTCACCTACTTCGACATGGAGCTCCTCACCAACCTACTGTTAAACGAGAAGGTGAACTTGCCATACTTGATCTTTAACCACATGCTTACTGCTGCAGAGAGTTCAAACAGGAATCTTCCCTATGGGATGATCCTCACTGTGCTATTTGAGCATTTTAATGTGAATTTAAGTGAAGAGGTGGGGTTAAGAATCTCAAGGCAGGAGTTCTATACTGTTTCATCTCTGAAAAAGATGGGCTTTGAGCTGCGTAATGGTGAGTATGTCAAAGTAAACAATGCTCATGGTGGTGATGATGATGATGATGATGATGATGAGGGTGATGAAGGAGCTCGAGACGAGCCAATGGCGGAGGCACAGAGTTCAACTCCACCGATCACCTTACAGCGTGTGTGGGAGCGCATGGATGGCATGTACGAGTACATGGGCCAGATGTCCACCCAGATGACTGGCATGCACGACTACATGGGGCACATGACCGCCCAGATGAGCACAATGCAGGTGACCGTGAATGAGATGCGAGATGAGTGGTGATCTTTCAGCGGAAGATACATACATCCCACCACATCCGGCCACCATCATGCTAGCACCACCAATGAAGTAAATGTGGATGATATAGAGGGGGGAGATGAGTAGGAGAAATGAGATTTTATATTGTGTGTTTTAGTGGTCAAAACGATTGTTGATTGTTATTCTGTTGTTTTTTTTAGTTTTATTTTTATGTGTGAACAATTATGATTTCTGCTTTATTTTTAGTTGTTATGCTATGAATTGATGAGTCCTTGTTATAATTATTTATGACTAATTATGATGGTTTGAAACATAATTTATACGATTAAAAGAACCACACAAATCGACATACATAAGCAAAAAAGACACGGGGCATAGGGTGACTTTCTTGTATTCGGTCGACCTCGTACCGGATTAGGTCGACCGCGAAACCAACACTTGATCTTGATTTTATGTCAAATAATTGGACACTTTGATAGAACACTTATCTTCTATCTGGTCGACCTCTTTCCTTATCCGGTCGACCATTTTGTTAATGACTGCCATCAAGTGGTCGACCTATATACCTTAGGTGGTCGACCATGTTGTTTCTGACGCCAACGAAATGGCCGACCCAGGTTTTATTCTGGTCGACCAAAAATAACAACTTAAACTAAGTGCGGTCGACCAGGTGGTCGTTGAGGTCGACGCAATGCTTTCTCGTGCTGCCCAAATTAGTCGATTCGGTCGACCGCCTTCAGCAATAGGTCGACCGAAAAGTGCATGTCACCGTGACATGCATGTCATAGTAGACATACCCAAACTTTTATTTAGTTATCATCTCATGTTCGTTTCAAATTAAAAAAAAAAAAAAAAGAGAGAGAAATCAATGAATAACTCCTTTTTAATATACTTAATCACCAAGAATGTGACCTTTTGTTTTTTTCAGTCATCCATTCATCCAACCAAGAAATGAGTTTAGTTCGAGTACATATGATAATTATTAATTTGAGTTCTTTGCTTGAAGTGTTTGTTACGGTGTTAACTGTCAAAGAAAATTTTAGATGCTCACGATATTTAACTTAAATATCTATATATGCGTAAAAGTGAAAATTAATTATTGACCATGTACAACTTATGAAGTGGAAAAGTATTGGTCAGTCGCATATCATATGATCGCGAATATGACCTTCCAACTTATTATGAAGTTCCGACTCTCATTGTTTAACAATATTGTTGATCCTGACCAAACTCACACTAAATATGGACGTATGAAACATAGATTATAAAAGGTCATAATAAATATTAAAAAAAAACAAGCAGCTGCACAATACTGTAGTGAAAAAATGAGCACAAAACTAGTACTTTAACAAGTATCATTTATGCTAACAATCATTTCATTGACAAAAATAAAATCATTGCTATTCCTAGACACCACTATTCTAGGTTAGAATATATTCTTACTGTGCTTAGAATGCAATTACACCGTTAGGATTCGATCAAATAATTGTTTTGGTACGATGTGATCTGATACGGATCAAACCGTTACATTGCGGCCAAATCTTCCAAGTATGCCCTCAGTGTTCCACCTCACATATTCATATTCTACATTTTGGAGTGTTGCACTTGCAGTGCACCATGTTGCATTGGACCCAGAATATTTACTCTAGCCAAAAATTGGGAGACCACATATTTAGGGAAGATTAGCTGATAAGGGACCCAAGTGACAGAGAAATGAACAAAATTACCTGAAATTTCCCATCATATTAAATGCCTCTACATTTTTTTTATAGCAATCGATGTTAAGTTTGTTAAAATGCTATCAATATCAAGGTTGTTAAACCTAGTGGCAGAGCCACGTTGTGGTAAGGGTTTAGCCTCTCTCGTCGGTTCAAATCCTTTGAACGTAGATTTTCAACCCCCCCTTATTCAGATTTTTTGCTTCGTCACTGGTTAAACCTCTACCAATCGGTCGGTTGGACCAGATCCGATCAAAGTCGGGCTCCAAAATAGTCTCTAGAAAGTCATTGATATGACCATTAGAAAGAGTGAGGTACAAATACGGAGAGGATCGGAGGAAAATTATGGATGCGTCATATGCGGGTTAAGTAGAATTTTTTTTAAGAAATGTGAGTTTCTCATAAATACATGTAATATAAAAGTCATTTCTTTCATTAAATTTTTAAATTAGTACCTTATTTATTTAAGGGAGTGAGAAGAAGTAGCTACAAATAGCTTTCCATCGTATTGAATTTGGTAGGGTGGGCAACGGGAAACGGGTATTTGGGTATACCCGTACCCGTCCCATTTTTTAAGGGTTACGGGTACCCATATTACCCGTACTATTATAAACGGATGGGATTTGGGATTGTACATTCCTAATATGGGAACCCGCGGGTTACCCGCAAATACCCGTTTGGGTAATGTGGGTACCCGTTTTACCCATTTGCGAACTCTAATCCATAGAAAGGGAATGTCCACTTCGCCACAAAGATGAAACTTTACTTAGTAAAGAAACAAAGAATGCTATGTGAAATGCAAAGGAGTTGGAAGATCAGATATCAAATCAGATAACAGTTACTCCCTTTTGTTAAATGAAACTTCTTATTTGATAATTTGGTGCTTAGAATGATTTATTTCTATGCGTTGTGATTGTTCATGATTTGTGTTGAATGAAACTTCTTATTTGATAATTTGGTGCTTAGAATGATTTATTTCTATGCGTTGTGATTGTTCATGATTTGTGTCTTGTGATTGTTAAGCAAGTACAAGTTAAGTTTAAACTTTTGTTAAAATTTGAGTGGTTTAAACTTTGGGTATTTATGGGTAGTATGGGTACCCGTTATCCGTCCCGTACGGGTAATGGGTACCCGTTTTCCATATGAGTTTGGGATATGGGATGGACTTTGGCCTCCAAATGGGACTGGGTACCCGTTTAAAACGGGACGGGTATCCCGTCCCGTCCCGTTGCCCACCCCTTCTACAAAACCTGAAACAGAAAGCACCACTGCCCCCAGGCTAATCGGATCCCACAAAGCTTTCACTTTTTTTTCACTCTGTTAGCCAATAGCCACCCTCCAACCACCTAACCCCGGTGCTACTGTAAAAAAAGAAGAAAAATCACAGTAAAAATTTCCCCTTCTAATCATATTTCGTTTTCTTCCTTAAACGTCAAATTGCTTTCCGCCAAAGGAAAGAAAGTGACAGCCGGAAACTGGATGTCATTTTGTGTCTGTTTCCAAGCTCTTCAAGAGTTCAAATACGAAACGAACTCTCTTCTTCTTCCTCCTGCCCATAATCACCCGCCGCCGCCGTCGGAGCTGACAACTCTGGAGAGATAAACCAGAAAAAGGTTTCTTCTTTTCGTTATTTTTGTCCGTAATGGAGGCGCCGCTGCTCCAATCCCGCGGTACAGATCACGGCCGGAAAGAAGGAAATGATGACGACAACAAGAAATTCAATTCTTCCGTTCTCGGGGACTTCGGAAACGAGTCTCGTACGCTATGGAAGATCGCCGGCCCGGCCATCTTCACCTCCATTTCTCAGTACTCCCTCGGCGCCCTCACGCAGACGTTCACCGGCTTCGTCGGCGAGCTCGAGCTCGCCGCCGTCTCCGTGGAGAATTCCGTCGTCGCCGGGCTCGCCTTTGGCGTCATGGTCAGCCACACCCTCTGTTTCTCCTCTGTTTTTCTTACACTTCGAGTAATGTTGATTTCAAGATTCGAACTTTACGTCACCGACTCTGTTTTTTTTGGGAAGGGATTGATTTCTTAATCTTGTTTTCTTGGTCACGTATTCAATTTTTGATTTTTGTGCTTTCTGTGAAGCTGGGAATGGGGAGCGCATTGGAGACGCTATGTGGGCAAGCCTACGGAGCAGGGCAGATCAGGATGCTGGGGATTTACATGCAGCGATCATGGGTTATTCTTTTGACCACCGCTTGTTTGCTGGTTCCTGTTTACATTTGGTCTCCTCCAATCCTTACTTTCTTCGGAGAGACCTCTGAGATATCCAATGCCGCAGGTCAGTTCAATTTCGATCTCTGAGTACAAACATCGAATCATGAATTGAATCGACCGGTGCGAATTGATCCGCGACGTTTTGATTCGGATTTTCAGTACGAATACGAACTGTAAAGGCATGGTCTGTTCATCCCAAGCCAGATGAAGGCTACCAACCCTTTTAGTGACACAGAAAAATAGTGGTGATTTTATCTTTTCTTTTCCCCTTCTCTTTGTTTGTGGGATTGGCAGGGGAATTCGCGATATGGATGCTGCCGCAGTTATTCGCTTACGCATTGAACTTCCCGATCCAGAAGTTCCTGCAGGCGCAGAGCAAAGTGATGGTGATGGCCTGGATCTCCGCGGTAGTTCTGGTCCTGCACACCTTCTTCAGCTGGCTGCTGATTCTGAAGCTCGGCTGGGGACTGGTGGGTGCCGCGCTGGTGCTCAATGCTTCCTGGTGCATCATAGTCGTAGCACAATTGGGCTACATTTTCATCACTGGGTCCGACGGAGCCTGGAATGGCTTCTCCTGGCTCGCGTTTTCGGACCTCTGGGGTTTCGTCAAGCTCTCTCTAGCCTCTGCAGTCATGCTATGGTAAAGATTTTTCATAGTTTCAATTTTGAGATAATGTGAGAAACAGGGGAAGAACCTAATTTTTTTTTCATTTGTTCTGTTTGTGGTTGTAGCTTGGAGTTTTGGTACTTGATGGTCTTGGTTGTAATAACGGGCAGATTGCCGAACCCTCTGATCCCTGTGGATGCCATCTCAATTTGGTATACTTCCTTTTTTCATCAATTCTGTTCACCATCCTGAAAATCCAGTGTCTTATCTCACTTTGATTGATATTGGTTTCCTTTCAGCATGAACCTGAACGGATGGGACGCCATGATTGCAATCGGATTCAATGCCGCGATTAGGTACACAGTTTTTCGCTAACAAATTGTCACACATCGATATCGAACCTAAAAATGTAACAAATGTCGTTTCCCATTTGACAGCGTCAGGGTATCGAACGAGCTGGGAGCAGGAAACGCTCGAGCAGCGAAAGTGTCTGTCGTAGTGGTATCAGCTACGTCGGTCGCCATAGGAGTGGTCTGTATGATCGTGGTCTTCGCGACGAGAGGTTCGTTCCCCGAGCTGTTCACCAGCAGCTCAGCGGTTGCTCAGGAGACGAGGAGGCTTGCTGGGCTGCTGGCGTTCACTGTGCTGCTCAACAGCCTTCAGCCTGTTTTATCTGGTAAAAAAATTTGGTAGTAGTAGGACTAAACTAATATACTTTTGCATGCAAGGTTGCAAACAACAACAATTCTTTTGTTTTGTAGCTTTTACCGACTTCATATTCGTTATTAATTCCTACCGAAAGATGCCAAAACCTTTGTCTTGACCTGTAATGGAGCCGATCCTTGACTGATTGTCTGTCTCTCTTTCTTTTGTCACGTAGGTGTCGCTATTGGAGCTGGATGGCAATCTCTGGTGGCTTACATCAATATTGGATGTTATTACATAGTTGGGTTGCCTGCTGGGATTCTTCTGGGATTCACGTTTGGTTTTGGAGTTGAGGTAAAAGAGATTTTCTCCTCCTTTCAGAGACAGATATGTAATCTGACTTGATATGTCGAAAGTGATAGTCGTAAGTTGATATCGCGTCAGATTGCGTGATCTAATGATGATGATTTCAGTTCTTGGTTCACAAAATGATGCTTTCTATGAAAAACATTGTATGTGCGTACAACGATCGTGCGTACAACGTTACCTCGTGCTAACACGGTACAATCTTATTACACACTATCAACATTCAAGAGTCGTCTTCTTACCTGCGTGCAGGGGATATGGACAGGAATGATTGCAGGGATAGTTTTGCAGACCATAATTCTGGTGGTAATCACTGCAATAACTGATTGGGAATCTGAGGTGAGTTTTAATTCAATCGATTGATTTATCATTGTAAATTGGAATCTGGTGGGGGTTTTCTTTTTGGTTTTTTGTTGAGGGCAATTCGGATTTGAAGTCCATCAACTTGCTTTTTGATTTGATGTTTGTTTATTGGCTTTGTTTTTTTTTCTTCCCAGGCTGCATTAGCTGAGGGTCGGGTTAAGAAATGGGGAGGATCATCAGGGCGTCACTAGGAAGAAGTTAAAAATTGTTGCTTTCTGGTGTTTCTTCCTTTCTTTCACCCCTTGTTATTGTTATCAGTAAATGAGCAAGTGTATTATAACTCATGGGCAAGCAACCACATTAATCCTCTCAGTTCCATCCATTTTTGAACATAGGTATACAGAAAAAAGGGAAAAGAGAGATGTTGTTCTTGAAGAAATGATTCATGAATGATAATGACAATGATGGGTTAAATGTTCAGATAAACTCGTATGTTGTTGCGAGGGGGGTTGAAAAGAGAGAAAGATAAATTCGTGTGTACTTTAAAATCCATTGACGAATGAGGGTGGCCATCTATTGACATACACTTAGGAGCTATTTGGCATTAGAAATGTTTGTAGGATTTTATTAGGGTGACTATCCTCTTTATATTATTTTTTGGCGTCGTCGAGAATAAAGTAAATATATTACAGTGATAAATCACGTGCTGTAAATGTTTTTTTAGTATGGACGAGCAATCATATAAATCCATTTTAGAATCATAATGGAATTACTTATACACTTGAGTAATCCTTCACCATAAAAAGTAACAACCATAGATTATAGAGAGACTAAAGATACAAACGAAGAAGAAGAAAAAAACATCACAATTTTACTATTTTCACTCAAAAAAACATCTCTATTTGCAATTCAAAATGAAGTCCCAATGTAAATGATGGAGAATTCGTTCTCCTGTGATGGTGCAAATTTTAGGAGACCAACAATTAAATTGAAATGGTTGGGGGAATTAATCATCCTTCACCATCCAACTGTCGTCTTCCACACTAATTGTTTTCTTTAATTCAATTGATAGCTCTTCTTCTGCCAGGTGAGCGGCCCACAATTTTCTCCCACCCAAATACGGAAAAAATCAAAAACTACCACTATAAAAAAAAATTTACAAAAATACCACACATTCTCAACAATTTCCAAAAATATCACCCTTCCACACAAAACGCACCTCGAAGGCACGGTTATAAACCAAAACGCGCGTCCAAGGCGCGGTTAAGGGTCAAACCGCGGTTCCACAGGCGGTTTGACTCTTCCTGGCTGTCAAACCGCGTAGCCACGTGGCGGTGCATGAGACCGCGCGATGGGGAGCGATCTGACGGCCAAACCGTGCGCCAGCTCAGCGATCCACGTCGCTTAGTCAAACCGCTCCCCCGAAGCACGGTTTGACTGTTGGGGAAAGCTAAACGCGCGCTTGAGGCGCGGTTTTAGGCGGGGTAAAAGGACGAAACCGCCCCTCCCTCACGCGGTTTCGTCCCTATATAAACCCCCCTTCCCCCTCCCATTTTTTGCACACCAAACTCATTCCCCCCTCTCTCACTCTAACTCCTCACTCTACACAACCCCCTCCCCACCCAAAAACCTTAGAATTAGTTATTTTGTTGGTTGCGGCTAAGTCCGATCTGCCTTCAAAAAAAATTTTCTTTGGTTTTCACTAAAAAACCGTCGAATCTCAGTCCGGATTCGGAAAAAATGGCCGATTTCATCCAAGAAGAGGGCATTTTCTATGATGATTATCAAACGGTACGTACTCATTTTACCCAATTGTTGTTGTTGTTATAATGATTTATTTAATTTATATACTAATTGATTTATGTTGTTGTTATGCTATCGTAGGTTGGGCCGGATGTTGATATTTACAATCAACGATATTATGTTGATCAAGGACCGATTGATCCGACTGTTTTATACGATCAAGCTAATCATCGTTCAAGAGACGTTTGGAACGACCACAACGTACATATTATTCATCATCACTTGTAATTTGTATTTTGTTAAAGTAATTTATTTGTTTGTACAATAATTTACTTAATTGTTAATCGTATTGATTATTTTCAATAATTTAAATCAATACAATGCAACACTTATTTAGACTCTTTATAAAGAAATGCATGTCTAAGGAAATGGGGACTTAAGCAATCATCATGATCCCCCCCCCCCCCCCCCCCCCCCCCATGACCTGGGAAAATCGGGTTCTAAGCGATCCTTGGATCCCCCCTTTTTCTGTCAAAAAGACTGTGTTTCTAAGGTAAGCAAGACCGACCTTACCCTCAATACAAGTACACTCGTAAGACTCTTAGGAGAGGTATACATCTCCGTAGAAACACAGTCTTATTGACAGAAAAAGGGGGGATCCGAGGATAGCTTAGAACCCGATTTTCCCAGGTCATGGGGGATCATGATGATCGCTTAAGTCCCCATTTCCTTATACATGCATTTCTTTATAAAGAGTCTAAATAAGTGTTGTATTGTATTGATTTAGTCCTCGTTTTATACAGTTGACAAAATTTATATAACAATTAATTAGAACGCTTACCGATCCACCATAGACTATCAGCAAGCTTCTTTCGCTTGAAATGATGGTTCCAGTTGCTCTTGAAATGTCGTATGCACCATCTCTGTGACCAGTTCCAGGCTGGATCCAAGCCTAAGATAGCAGCCCGTATACCGGCGTGGCGATCTGAGATGATAGTCAGGTTCGTCCGCCTGGTGACATGGAGCTGAATTTGTCTGAAGAACCATCCATAGCTATCGGTATTCTCTCCCTCCAAAATGGCAAAGGCTAATGGATATACTGCTCTATTTGCATACGCTCCGCTGGCGATCAGTAGAGTACCCTTGTACTTGCCGGTAAGGAATGTTCCATCAACTTGAATCACAGAAACACAGTATGGAAAACCATCAATACATGGCTTGAATGCCCAGAAAAGAAGCTTGAATTGGCGCTTGTTACCAGGAACCGGCGGTTGAATTTCTTCATCTTGGTAGCGAGGCGAGAAAATGGTGCCAGGGTTAGACACCTCCAACGCCAAAATCAATTCGGGAAGGAATGCATATGATTCTTCCCAGTCACCAAACACGGCAGCCATTGCTTTCTGTTTCCCATGACACGCTTTCTTGTAGTTAATGATATAACCATAACGACTAGAAATGTGGGCGATGATGGTTTTCACCTTCAGGTCGGGCTGCTCCTCAATTAGATATTTGATAGCCATGGCAACCACCCTTGATTTCAACTGTCGATGGCCTTGGGATGTTATTGATGACACACACATGTGTGTGTTCACCGCACAGGATATGACCCAATGGCCGACTCTCTTGCTCTTGATGGCCCGGACCCTAGCTTTGCATCAAACCATCAGCCTCTTTGTGTCGGAATGGGTTGTTTTCCATTCAAAACTCCGAGTCATTGCTTCAGTGGCAATAGCGTGTCGGACCTCATTCTTCGTTGCAAATTGTTAGCCCTTCGTAAAGCCAGTGAGTGGACCCCATACTAGCACCTCTGGCGGGTCCATGGCATCAACATACCAATCTTCATTTTGAATGTGATTGTAGTATGGAATAGGTACACGGTCGCGAGGTACCTCATCACCGTCTGCCTCTGAATCTGGACCGGAATCATCAGCACCTTCCAGTGGATCGAAGCTGTCTGCACTAACTTCGCCTTCCTCTTCTTCAACCTCAGGGTCACTAACTGGACTTGGATTGACCTCTTCTTCCATCTGATTATCATCATGAAATGCACCTTCACCTTCACCAGCTCCGTAATGGTAGTTGTGGTAACTAACACCGCTTTGATAGAAGTTGTACTCGGGTGGGTACTCGTAGCCTGCTTGTTGGTTGTGATCCACCTGATGACCTCCAGTTCCATGATGATACTCCTGCCTCCAGCTCGAGTCTTGGAAATCCTGGTGGGGATGATCTTCGTATAATACACTCCCACCGTGGATACTAGATGCTTGGCCATCTCTAGAATGACCTACACTGCCTTCGACGGCCTCGGTGTAAAGGAACATCTCCGCTTGCTTAATTTTATTGGTGTTCAAAAATTGGACCATGGCATCAACGTCCTCCTGAGTGGTAAAGAGGAATTCCTCATTCCACAGCGACTTGTCATGTCAGTTTGGATATCGATACACCATTTGATCAACTCTTCTAGTGCCATCCATGCAGGTAATCTGAGTGCACATTTGATGGAGCTCTTCAAGCATCGGTCTCATACGGACCTTCATTTTATAAAAATTGCCACCGACGTAACTTACACCCTTTTCGGTCTCTTCCGTGTAACCATTCCACCGCAACCCAAACGTGAACCTTTGGAATGCCATCTGCAATAAAACTGTAATTAAGTTACTAACATAAAATCACAAAGGACAATAAAAAAGGACAATGAAAAGTAATTAAGTTACTAACATAAAATCACAAAGGACAATGAAAAGTAATACAAAACAAACTTACGAATTAACGTTAATCGCAAAAACTAAATAATTTGAAGGTGCAAAAATGAAATTTGAAGAAGGAAGAGGAGGAGTGTGAAGAATTGAGTTCTCTGAAACAACCTTTTATAGGCGAATTTTGCAGCACAAACCGCGGGGGGGGGGGGGGGGGGGGGGGGGGGGGAGCGGTTTTAGGTCTGCCGTGCAGGCCCACCCCCTGCATGCCGACATGTCTGCTGTCAGGTGACCAGGCACAAACCGCGCCTTGGGGCAGCGATTTATGTCTGGACATGGTAAACCGCCGCCTGGTGGGGCGGTTTGTTATGCCGACATTTAAACGCTTCCCCTTGAAGCGTTTTGTGGTAGGGTTAGTGTATAAAGCGTGCCTTCCAGGAGCGGTGTTAGCTGGAATTTAAAAACGCCTGTTGGCGAGGCAGTTATAATGTAAACCGCTGCCAGGAGGCGCGGTTTCTATGTTAACCGCCCATTAGAGGCGCGGTTTTTAATAAAGGATGGTATTTTTGGAAAATGTTGGGAATGGGTGGTATTTTTGTAATTTTTTTTAAACAGTGGTAGTTTTGGATTTTTTCCCCCAAATACATGGTCATCTTTGTCATTCATTTGCCAATCAACAAGGTTGTTAAACCTTATTGAACCCCGCTTCAACTGAGTCAAGTTTCAAAACAGTTTTCAGAAAGCCCCCTGGTCTGACCTCTAAAGAGGAAGAAGAAGAAAGTGGGAAGAGAGAAAGAGGAACAAAGGAAAGGAGATAGTGGGTGGGTCATGGAGGTTAGGTATATTTATTTTGTGGAAAATAAGCTTTTAATAGATATATAATAAGATATATTTTATTTCAGTCTTTAAATCTTTAATTACTAACTTATTTGTATATATATTTAGAAAACGCCTAAAATGGCTCAAACCGGCCGGACCCCTATCAGACCATTAAACCTCAAACCCCTTGCTTGACCGGCTCAATGACTTAAACCGGTTTGATAACCTTGCTAATCAACAAAACTCAAACTCATTTTCACTACCGCATAACAATTACATCGGCTCTTGCTGGAATCCGATAGGCAATTTCAACCCGCCCCGTGGGTATTACTCGATTTGACCTGTGATGGGGCGGGTACTATACGATCCACATTAGTGTGGGGCGGGGCATGGTTATCTACTTCCGATCCGCCTTGCCCCGTCCTAGACCCAT